GGCGGCGCTACAAAGTATTAATGCAAGGGGGCCGAATAATATTGCACGCCCCACTTTTCAGTTTTTTATTTGTTAAAAAAGTTTGACACATCCAATAAATTTCATTCCACTTAATGATTGTGTCCCACTTGTTGTTGATTCTTCACAAAAAATTAAAATTTTATATATTTATGTTTGAAGCCTGAAATGTAGCAAAAGGTTGAAAAGTTCAAGGGGGTCGAATACTTTCACAAGGCACTGTATATTGGTATTGGTATCGGCCAAATAAGTTTTAACATATCGGAATATCGGATATCAGCCAAAAAATCCAATATTTTGCATCCCTAAAAATTTCTAAAATATTGAACAATTCAGAGTTTAAAGACTTCCAAACATCTCTCTGTCTATTAGTACTTAAAGTCGTCCTAATGTGCGACTCGGCTGGAAACTGCTGATTCAGGCTGCCGTCACATTGACCACAGTCTGGCAGCAAACAAAAGCAGTGCTTTTCAGCTAGACGTGACTCACTGGACTGAAGTAACATCAAGCCTTACGCTTCGCTCCTGCACAGGGTGTTACAGTAATCCTGCCAGTGTCCGCTGAGATTCCGACAGCTGCAGTTTGGCTAAAGGAAACATTTCCCACTGCTGCCTCTGAGCGTCAGCGTCTCTGTCATTCAGTTCAGTGGTTTTGAGACAAACTGTGGTGGATCAAATGATCAGCTGAGCTCCAGCTGCCTGTACTAAATGTGTGTTCCACTTACACACTCGCAGCTAAAAAAAAACAGGATAGACTGGTCCCACGAGCATGAGTGTTTTATGATGTTTCTGAACTTCATCGTCGCCAATAAAAATAAAAATAAAAAAAAACACCAGAAAGATTATTTTCTGAACCAAATGTTGCTATAAGACACAGAAGACATGTCATTCAAGTCATTGTGTTTGAATGTGTACCTTTTGCAGCTCTGTAACATACTGAGCCACCATGAAGACTGGCAGCGCAGTGAAGCTCTCAGCTTTAGCAGCGATGTGGGAGTACATCCTCTCTACCAGTCTGGAGCACTGCAAATACACGTCACTCTCCACGCCTTCAGAAACCACAAAAAAGGTTATTTACCCTACATGTTTGTGGAAGATACAAGTTTTCTATTTAACTAATGCTAATGTGGCTCCACATTTTATTTTTGGTAATGTGTATTTAAATGAATTCTTTCATAAAATGGCTTGACAGAAAAGCAAAATCTCAATTTACGGCCATTATTCATTCAACCTTGATTTATACAGGTTAATCCCATTGAGCCTCGGGGACTCATTTACGAGAGAGACATGATTTTAACAAACATTATGAAGTGAAAAAGTACTTTAGTGTGTAAAAACATTCTGCTAAGAAGTCAGCTTCTAGTCGAGTTTAACAAAATAGAGTTAAAATTGTGAACCTTGTGGTTAAGTTTCATTCATTTAGCCTAAAGTGTTGTTGTGTGATCTTTCCAGTTCATACTATAACATTGATGACGACACTCAGGATTAGCCAGATGCTACAGAAACCAAACCACAGTCCAGGAGTTGACTGAACAGGATGCATCCACCATACAGCGCTCCTGCTTTAGATGAAAGATTTGATCCCATTAGGCCCTAAAAACGTGATCCAGCTCTGCCATTTGCATAACGCAGCCTTTCATTAAGTGCACTTTAGTGAAAACTTTGACCTGCGCAACGTGCTAAGAAATTTAAACTGTCTAGGAATGCAGAAGTAGAATATTTCTCATTAATCTCAAGCTTTATATTTATAATAATATCTGGCTAAACAACATTACTTTCCTTCAGTTTAAAACAATTTGCAGAATAGTAAGCAAGTAAGTCATGTTAATCTGATATGTAAAATATTACATTTAAGAAAGCTTGGTTAATATTCTCTAATCCATATGCACACACACTATATATATTTACTTGTGTCAGTGTCCCCTCTCTGTCGACCCTCCTGGATGACAGACGCCACCAAACGATAAAAGACATTTATGAAGGATGGAGCTGCCTTTGGTAAAACCTGCAGACACACAAGGTAAAATAAAATCAATAAAAAATAAATTGTCAAATCAATAGAACCCTGTATAGGTAGAAATCTGGTTTCCTTTTTAAAAATATTTGCAGTTTAACAAACTTCATTAGAATGTCTGGTAGAAACTCAACAAACACTATTTAGAGGATGATGTTCTTATTTTTTCTTGTTCTTGATTTCCCAATTACTTAAAACAGACTCATTGATCTAATAATTTCTGCTTATGTATCAATAATGACATGGTCATACTGTGTGAATAACTGGGTCAAATTTTTTTTTTGTATATTTTATATTAAAAAATAGGAAATTCATGTAGAAACATTTTTGCATTTGGAAATAGGAGTCTATAAATATCCATCTGCTACAAGAGATTTCTATTTTATGTTCTCCTGTCTGCTGTGCATGTTTGTTTCTTTTGTACAGCACTTTGGTTGGCCTTGTTGCTGTTTTAAGTGCTATATAAATAAATTGGTATGGGATGGTATGGTAAGAGTATCAGTACTAACGGAAAAGTAGCCATCAGTAGAGAGCACACAAAGTAATGGAGATAAAAATATACATGTCTGATTATCTCCACAGCTTCCTCCTCTGAATCTATGGGCCTTTTGCTGACAGACGGAGATAGAGAGACAGAATAGAGATGAGGAAGGATTGATCATCATCTCAGGTTAGAGCCCAGCGATGGTTTTTAATCACCTTCAAGCCAACCTCTTCTGCACGCCTGCCCACCCCTACCTCTCTTCTCCTCCCTCCTGACTGTTTGTCCTTTCACACCTCACATGTAGATAACACCCCTCATTTTGCATTTTACCCTAAGAGGTCTTTTATGTGACCCATTCCAATCAAATTTTACCTTTTGGTTCATCATTTCCAGCTTCTTTTCTCATTTCATCAGCACTCATGACTTATTCCCTTCTCATCTTTTCTAAATGTAATATTCATATCTTTGCTGCCTCAGCCATCCCATCAGTTTTACCTCCCTCTTCCTTCACGGCTTGTCTCCTTTGTTGATGTCTTTTGTCCTCACAAACATCTGAAATCATTTACCTGACTCTGGCTTGTTTAATTCACAGCTGCTGCCAGTTGTGCTCTGTTACTGTTTAAAAAAGAGTTAAAAAAAGATCTGGACAACTTGAAAAATAATACAGGTCTATGTCTAAAGAAAAAAAAGTTGCTTAAAACCAAATGAATGATAAACTCCAGTATGGGTCAAAAATGTGAATGTTATATGAGGTTTTTAAGCAGCTGCCGTTGAAATGTGGTGAGCAGTAACAACCTATGGTACTTGAAAGCGGCATTCTTCTGGGAAATATCCTGAGGGCTAAGCATCAGGACATACTGCACTTTCATTATCTAATTTAAACCAGAGGCTTGGAACGACAATGACTTTCAGTAAATAAGCTGGTTTAGCAAAAGATGGGAATAAGAAAAAACGGATTTAAGCATGATCCTGAATCAAGAACAAACATAAATGTAACATTGCACTGAAAACAAACACCTCAACGTCTTTAACTGATCAGATGCTTCCACTGCAAATGCAAAAGCTTCATAGATGTGCTTTGATTTTCCACAGAAAAAGACAGAAAATGTTATTACTGAAAAATGTGTTTCTGTAAGCAAAGTTTTGTAAACTGTTTCAAAGACTTCAAAGTTTTGCACGTCGGTCTACTCAGACTCAGCCTTGCAAGCGGAGTTGATGCATTTGAGTGCAGCATAAATTTGTGAATGTGTTGACTAGTTTACAGACTTCAAACTGGTTTACTACATGGTGTTTTTTTTTTGTTTTTTTTTAGAGTTTTAAGAAGAAACATGCTGGAATTAAAGGAAGAACTTCTTTCTAGCTTCTAACCAAGTTATACCTCAAACTTAACATACCATAATTGCCGGTGTACAAGCCGCTACTTTGTCTCACACTTTGTACCCTGCAGTTTATATTAGGGATGCACCGATCCACTTTTTTTTCTTCCGATCCGATCCCGATACCTAAGTCTGAATATCGGCTGATACTGATCCAGTTCCGATATCATCATCATTGATTTTACATGAGGCTGTAATAATCTCCTCTCAAGTACAATTTGTACAAATATATGCATGCATGTCCAAAAAGGCAACTTGAGGTAAGTTTTATTAATGTTGGATAAGTTTTAAAGTTAGAATTAAATTCTGCTAACACAAAACATGTTTATTTTTATTCCTAGCTTTAAAGTGGATATTAAAGTGATTAATTTAAGTGATTGTTTAAAGTTATTTTATATTTTTTTAAATAAGGGGCAGATATAAGATTTTTTTTCTTCTTTCTGCACTCTTTTCATTCAATATTTTCTTTTTGATGATTTTTTAAAATTTTGTTTCTTTGAAATGAATGAATAAATTAAATAAAATGTTAAATGGCTTCAAACACCTGCTAAGTTCATGGCATAAACCAACAGACATGTTCCTGTTTTTAGTATTTTACATCACTTTATAATGTAGCTGTTTTTGTTTTTAATATATATAATTTTCAAATCATGTCTTTTCATGATTGTCTACTGTTGTACTGATAAATATCTCCTGGAGGGCAAACTATATCTTGGATGCAAATATCAAACTGTGAAATCCTTCATTTTCTACAACTGATAGCTGTTGGTCATTAATTATGATGAAGTTTAGCAACTTCTCTGTAAACAATTGAGCTCCATGGTTTCAGCGATGTCTTCTTCTTGTTCAGTCCAAAGCAAGCAGCCTGATTTGGGTCAGCCGCACTCAGTCTGTCCCTCCTCAGAAACGGGCAGACTGAGCGTGGCAGATTGGACGCGGCTGGCCGGGGTCGAGTCGCTTCTTTCGGATTCAGTGAGAGTAGCGCCCCGCTGAAGCCACGGAGCTCAAATGTCCAACGTAAAACTAACTTTACCGCGGTTTAATGTGGCGCTATGGCTCTGTAGACATTGCACGCTGCTGTCTTGTTCTGTGGTGTTTCTAATGTAAAATACTTCCACACAGCGGACATGTTTAGATGAAAAGTTGGTTAGCTGTTAGCTACAGTGCTGCTAACTCAGTCCTCATGTTGTAGCTGGCTGCAAACTATGAACTGGATTTCCTGAATGTGAGGCGGGTCTTATTACTCTGGATTCATGAGACACGCCTCCGTTCATGAAATCCATTCCATAGTTTGAAGCCAACGTGCAGCGCAACCACAGAAATGCATCATGAATCGGAAATATCGGCACGTTGATCGGAAAAATCCGATACGTAAATTATGCTGGTATGGGAGGCCGATACCGATACTGGATCGGATCGGCCCCATCCCTAGTTTATATGCAGGAGTTTCTTATTAATGTATTTTTTTTTTCCCATAATGTTCAAAATTTATATTTTATTTTGAAAGACTTCCTGCCGTCTCTCAGTAGCTTCCTGCCACTGATTAACAATTTCCTTTGACAAAGCTGGGCGCTCATGGCTCCCAGCACCCCGCCCCTCATGGGGGCAGGTGTTTGTGACACAGAGAGAATGCCCTCAGGTAATCAGACGTACAAGATCTTTTGCTCACGATTTCAAATACCCAATCATAACTCCATCCACTCTGTCATCATGTGACCAGAAGTCTACCTTGAATGACCAATGAGGTACTCTCGAGGACTGTCCCCCAAGGTAGGCGTGAAGTAATTTCTTTAGATTGTTCTCGTGTTGTTACCGGATTTTACGCTTCATGCACAGACCTGTTCATTTGTTCAGCAATAATGGAAAATGCATGGGGAATTTCTTATGACACAGCTTTTATGTTAAAAGCAACTGACCAGCTGTCAAAAAGGAAACAGCTGCAGCCCGTAGCTGCATCAACATGCCAATGGCCAGGGATTGGAGACACAAAAGCAATCTAGTCTGGTAAATGTTTTAATAAAAGTTATAAAATTCTTTCTGTGTCGGTAAATATGCGTTTCAATACCGAGATCTTATTTTAAACACATCCGAACACGGAGCGGAGAACAACAGGAGGGGTCTTCCCCCTCCTCTTTCCATCATGAGAGCTCAGCGAGCAGTGGACAAGTTGTCAGATTTATTTTTAAAGCAGTCAGTCAGTCAAGACTGATATATATTTAAATAAAAGTTTCAAAAAATCTTTCTGTGTACGATAAATATGTGTTTAATGAATAAAAAACTTAATGAACATTTACCGCATTCTACTGGTACTATTTGACTTCTGGTCACATGACCTCGATAAGACTTCTTGGTAATATTTACGATAAATAATTTTTAAATAATTTCAGTTGCGCAGGCATTTGGCACTGTTCCGTCCAGTGATTACACTTAGATAGTTATTGTGTTCATTTTGAAGATATAATGGTTGTAACCATGAGTCAGACAGTGAACTTCATGAAGACGTGACGACTGCAGTCGGAGCATGTGTTGAAAGGAAGCTTTATTTTGTGAAACACCATCTGCTGGCTGGTTCTTGTACTATAAAAAGAAAGCTGCACACAGCTGGAGCAGACTGGGGGGGGGGGGCACAGATCCTGATGTTAAATAACTGGAGCGTCTTATTTATGTACAAAATTATGATTGATCTTATATTTAATAAGTGCCACAAAAATTACTACGGTAGTTGAAAAACTTTCAATTTGTGAGTGCACAGCAATGACTCAAAACTGACTCACTTCACAAACTTACGGTATACACAGTTCAATAGGTCAAAAATGAGTAATAATCAGTGGTATTTGTTAATCTGGCTGTATGTATGACAGAAGATAAGTTCTGATATTTTAGATTAAAACACTTTCTCAGCAGCTCTTCTTGGAAAAGCCATGAATTCAACCATGACCTGTGTTCAGTCAGATCTATCCAAAAAGATTTTATAAATAAAAACTGGATTTAAACATTAGAAATGTATGAAATGATTGCACTGGCTGTCTGATCATCCTGTTTTATGACTTAGATTTTGTCCTCTGCCTGAAAAGAGAAAAAAAAACTATCTGTTATGTATATATATATATATATATATATA